CTGTATCACTGTCTCACTGTTTCATGTCTCAATGTCTAGCTGTCTCACTGTCTCAGTGGCTTATTGTCTTACTCTCTTACTGCCTCACTGTCTCATGTTTCACTGTCTCAAATGTCTGACTGTCTCATGTCTCGCTGTCTCATGTCTCAGAAATGAGGAGGAAAAGTCAAGAAATGATGACTTGTTTTTAAGTCTCTTGACAATGATAAACACATATATTTATGATATTTATATCGATATTATTGGGTTTCATGCAAAGTTTATCCCCTAAAAAAATAGGAGGCTAAAAGGTATAGAACTGAGCATAAACCCTAAAACTAAAGGTCAACCTCTTCAAACCTAAACCCTAGACTCCAAATATTCCAAAAACGGTTAGATATTCTTTTGGCGGTAGCCATGCGGTAGCCAGCTGCGCAAATCACCAGTCCAACACGAAGAAGTAAATATTTATGTGGCACAGTTGCAACTTGCATGTACACAAAAGGTAAATATACATAAATATATATATATATATATATTATATGTGTGTGTGTGTGCATACTTTATACTCAAGACATATAGATATATACATGTATATAAATACATATAAAGATACGTTTACATTTCAGCTGCAGTTCACAAACAGTATCTGCAGTCAGGAACGACGTTGTAATAGCGAGGTTCGCTCGCTCACATACCTTTTGTGCCAGAACTTGCATGCACATACACGATTTATTCACATGTACGTACATCATCGGGTATGTGCACAGGTGCATAGAAAACCACACAGTATAGCCGTGGTTCAATATGCAAAGTCTGGGGTAGTTACAGTCTCGTATGGGGAATTATGGTCACTAGTTTTGAACGCAGCCCAGCAACTTGCTGAGCTCGTCCATAGTATACACAGTCACACTGGAACGTTGAATGTGGATGATGACGAGTCAGCTACCGAACGAACCGAGTCTTGCGACAACCGCATAGATAGGAGTGCGGGAAGTTGCATAGATGAGACTCATAAAAGTACGTTGTACGGGGCATGTACTGATGATCCTATTGAATCTGGCTACAGTTACATACATAGTAATGCATGCAATCACACAGACAACGTGCGAGTGGGACTTGCAATGCACGAGGACATCAACACGCTTATAGTGTGCTTGGCCGTTCTATGCATAGGCGGTGTTATAGTACCTCTCGTTGCAGATGATCCGGGTACACGGCTCAGGCACATGTGTGCTACAGCTGACGTACAGTTGATTGTAACATCAAGTGATATGCAAGATGTAGAAGACAGGCAATTTGATGGTCTGCAGCGCTGGGCGGGGGAGGATGTTAAGATCGTATCAGTCCGTTCAGGTATTCATATACGTGTTCACTACAATATCATGTATGTGTGGCAAAGTCGCAGTAACATAGACGTGTTTGCTACTTTGGCATGTATGTATAGGCAATCCATCAGGGGCAGAAAGCGTATGCCTTCTAGCTTTGAATCTTTCTTGCCCGAGGTAGGTATTCAGAGTGTATTATGCGAGCTCGTCTCGGATGCATATTTTGGTCTACACCTGAAATGTAGTTTTATATTATCTGAAAATGTTACAGATGTGCAATTGGTCAATCTGCGGTACTAAGCTGGGGAGAATGTAAAGGTTATAGCAGCATCTTTAGGTATGCATATAAGTATGCAAGTGTTCTCTACAATTATAATAGCTTAATGTCCGCAGTTGTATATACATACATACATATATATATACATACATACATTCATGCATATATATT